GCGTTGATGTAGTCGGAGGCGTCTCCGTCTTGGGCCTGGAGTCGGACTCTGGAGTGATCGTCTGAAACACAAACACTTCGATTTTAATCACGGAATTTGGTTTGATTTTTGGACAGGACAGGTGCAGGACAGGTGCAGCACAGGTGCAGGACAGGTGCAGGACAGGTGCAGGACAGGTGCAGGACAGGTGCAGCACAGGTGCAGGACAGGTGCAGGACAGGTGCAGGACAGGTGCAGGACAGGTGCAGATCATCGTACTAGAGACTAAAAATATAAAAACATAATCTGTTTGTTCAAACGTTCCAAACTGTTTGGAAGGGAGTGGAGTCCAAACAAAGGTGCAGGACTACATTTCCCATGATGCCCCGGTGCCTTTAAACCCCTTTAAACAGCAGCGGAATGAGAAGAGCTCAGGGCGTCGGAGAAAAAACACAATCCACAATAAAAACGGAGAATCTCGAAGGAACCAAAGACCAATCTACAAATCTAATGATCCCCGCAGGCCACCGTACCTCATCAAACTCATTTAGCTCTGTTAGCATTAGCATAAACACCGCCCCAGGACACGAGGGGGGAGGGGCTAGGAGGCTAGGACGCATCTGAGGAGACAAGACGCATGTGAGGAGACAGGACGCAAGTGAGGAGACAGGACGCAAGTGAGGAGACAGGATGTAGGACACATGGGGTAGGGGGTAGAGGAGTTAGGAGGTAGGAGTTAGGAGGTAGGGGGTAGGAGTTAGGAGGTAGGAGTTAGGAGGTAGGGGGTAGGAGTTAGGAGGTAGGTTAGGTAGGAGTTAGGAGGTAGGAGTTAGGAGGTAGGGGGTAGGAGTTAGGAGGTAGGAGTTAGGAGGTAGGAGTTAGGAGGTAGGAGTTAGCAGGTAGGAGGTAGGAGTTAGGAGTTAGGAAGTAGGAGTTAGGAGTTAGAAGGTAGGAGGTAGGAGTTAGGAGGTAGGAGTTAGGTTAGGAGGTAGGAGTTAGGAGGAGGTAGGAGTTAGGAGGTAGGAGTTAGGAGGTAGGAGTTAGGAGGTAGGAGTTAGGAGGTAGGAGATAGGAGGTAGGAGTTAGGAGGTAGAAGTTAGGAGGTAGGAGGTAGGAGTAGGAGGTAGGAGGTAGGAGTTAGGTAGGAGTTAGGAGGTAGGAGTTAGGAGGTAGGAGGTAGGAGTTAGGAGGTAGGAGTTAGGAGGTAGGAGTTAGGAGGTAGGAGTTAGGAGGTAGGAGGTAGGAGGTAGGAGTTAGGAGGTAGGAGGTAGGAGTTAGGAGTTAGGTAGGAGTTAGGAGTAGGAGGTAGGAGTTAGGAGGTAGGAGTAGGGTAGGGTAGGAGTAGGAGTAGGAGGTAGGAGTAGGAGTTAGGAGGTAGGAGTTAGGAGGTAGGAGTTAGGAGGTTAGGAGGTAGGAGTTAGGAGGTAGGAGTTAGGAGGTAGGAGTTAGGAGGTAGGAGGTAGGAGTTAGGAGTAGGAGTTAGGAGTTAGGAGTAGGAGTAGGAGGTAGGGGTTAGGAGGTAGGAGGTAGGAGTTAGGAGTTAGGAGGTAGGAGTTAGAGAGTTAGGAGGTAGGTAGGAGTTAGGAGGTAGGAGTTAGGAGGTGGAGTTAGGAGTTAGGAGTAGGAGGTAGGAGTTAGGAGGTAGGAGTAGGAGGTAGGAGTTAGGAGGTTAGGAGGTTAGGAGTTAGGAGTTAGGAGGTAGGAGTTAGGAGTTAGGAGTTAGGAGTTAGGAGGTAGGAGTAGGAGGTAGGAGGTAGGAGGTAGGAGGTAGGAGTTAGGAGTTAGGAGGTAGGGGTAGGAGGTAGGAGTTAGGAGTTAGGAGGTAGGAGGTAGGAGTTAGGAGTTAGGAGGTAGGAGGTAGGAGTTAGGAGGTAGGAGTTAGGGTAGGAGGTAGGAGGTAGGAGTTAGGAGGTAGGAGGTAGGAGTTAGGTTAGGAGTTAGGAGGTAGGAGGTAGGAGTTAGGAGGTAGGAGGTAGGAGTTAGGTAGGAGGTAGGAGGTAGGAGTTAGGAGTTAGGAGGTAGGAGTTAGGAGGTAGGGTTAGGAGGTAGGAGTTAGGAGGTAGGAGTTAGGAGGTAGAAGTTAGGAGGTAGGAGTTAGGAGGTAGGAGTTAGGAGGTAGGAGTTAGGAGGTAGGAGTTAGGAGGTAGGAGTAGGAGTAGGAGTTAGGAGGTAGGAGGTAGGAGTTAGGAGGTAGGGGGTAGGAGGTAGGAGTTAGGAGGGTAGGAGGTAGGAGTTAGGAGTTAGGAGGTAGGAGTTAGGAGGTAGGAGTTAGGAGGTAGGAGTAGGAGGTAGGAGTTAGGAGGTAGGAGTTAGGAGGGAGTTAGGAGGTAGGAGTTAGGAGTTAGGAGTTAGGAGTTAGGAGTAGGAGGTAGGAGTTAGGAGGTAGGAGTTAGGAGGTAGGAGGTAGGAGTTAGGAGGTAGGAGGTAGGAGGTAGGGTAGGAGGTAGGAGTAGGAGTTAGGAGGTAGGAGGTTAGGAGGTAGGAGTTAGGAGGTAGGAGTAGTAGAGTTAGGAGTTAGGAGTTAGGAGTAGGAGGTGGGAGGTAGGATTAGTTAGGAGGTTAGGAGGTAGGGAGAGGAGTAGGAGGTAGGAGTAGGAGGTAGGAGGTAGGTAGGAGTTAGGAGGTTAGGAGTTAGGAGTTAGGAGTAGGAGTTAGGAGTAGAGGTAGGAGGTAGGAGTTAGGAGGTAGGAGTTAGGAGTTAGGAGTTAGGAGGTAGGAGTTAGGAGGTAGGAGTTAGGAGTTAGGAGTTAGGAGGTAGGAGTTAGGAGTTAGGAGTTAGGAGGTAGGAGTTAGGGAGGAGTAGGAGTAGGAGTTAGGAGGTAGGAGGTAGGAGGTAGGAGTTAGGAGGTAGGAGTTAGGAGTTAGGAGTAGGAGTAGGAGTTAGGAGGTAGGAGGTAGGAGTTAGGAGGTAGGAGTTAGGAGTTAGGAGGTAGGAGTTAGGAGGTAGGAGTTAGGAGGTAGGAGTTAGGAGTTAGGAGTTAGGAGTTAGGAGGTAGGAGGTAGGAGTTAGGAGGTAGGAGTTAGGAGGTAGGAGTTAGGAGGTAGGAGGTAGGAGTTAGGAGTTAGGAGGTAGGAGTTAGGAGTTAGGAGTTAGGAGGTAGGACTCACAGGCGATGATGTTGCCGTATCGATTCTTCATTCGATTCTCGTCTTTTTTGGCCGAATCCCACGGAGCCGATTGACCCTCGAAAAAACTCTGAAACAGACCGAGACCCAGACTTAGACCAGGACCAAGACCAGGACCAAGACCAGGACCAAGACCAGGACCGAGACTCAGACCAAGACTTAGACCAGGACCAGGACCAAGACCAGGACCGAGACTCAGACCAAGACTTCAGACCGAGACAGAAGACTTAGACCAGGACCAGGACCAAGACCAGGACCGAGACTCAGACCAAGACTTAGACCAGGACCAAGACCAGGACCGAGACTCAGACCAAGACTTAGACCAGGACCAGGACCAAGACCAGGACCGAGACTCAGACCGAGACTTAGACCAGGACCAGGACCAGGACCAAGACCAGGACCGAGACTCAGACCGAGACCCAGACTTAGACCAGGACCAAGACTAGGACCAGGACCAACACCAGGACCGAGACTTAGACCAGGACTTAGACCAGGACCAGGACCAGGGCCGAGACTTAGACCAGGACCGGGACCAGGACCGGGACCAGGACCGGGACCGAGACCAAGACTCAGACTCAGACCAAGGCTCAGACCAGGACCAGGACTAGACCAGGACTAGACCAGGACTAGACCAGGACTAAACCAGGACTAGACCAGGACTAGTCCAGGACTAGACCAGGACTAGTCCAGGACTAGTCCAGGACTAGACCAGGACTAGACCAGGACTAGTCCAGGACTAGACCAGGACTAGTCCAGGACTAGTCCAGGACTAGAGCAGGTCTGTGTGGTGAATACTGCAGGAGCCGAGGACCTGATTTAGTCCAATTAGACTCAAACTTACTCCAGACTCACTGACACCAAAATACACTGATACAAACCAGGACTAAACCAGGACTAAAACAGGACTATTTCAGGTCTAAAACAGGACTATAGCAGGTCTGATCCGGGTGAGATCCGGGCTGAACCGGGGGGAGTTTGTTTGAGTTTAAATTAGAATCAGAACGTGTCAGAAATGTAAAAACGTCGCGATTCTCAGAATAAATTTATGAATCTAAAGATCCACTTTTCAAAGACCTGTCACTCAAACCGAGAACTCAACCAGGACTACAGCAGGACCAAACCAGAACTCAACCAGGACTACAGCAGGACCAGACCAGAACTCAACCAGGACTACAGCTCTCTAAATGGAGTGAGCATGTCCTGGTTTAGTCCTGGTCTAGTCCTGGTCTAGTCCTGGTTTAGTCCTGTTTTTTCGTGACCTTGGAGGGTTTTTAGTTTTTTTTTCTGATGTTTGATGTTTTCTTCTGAGCTGTCAATCATCTCCCCCCGTCCATTTACATGAGAAGAAAAGAAAAAAGAAAGAAAAGGAGAAAAGGAGAAAAGGAGAAAAGGAGGAGAGTCTTACCTCGTTGAGCTGAGGACATTAGTGAAGCAAAAAAGAAAAAAGAAAGGACAGAAGACAGGTTAGGACACATGTGAGGACACTCGTTAGGACACATGTGAGGACACTCGTTAGGACACATGTGAGGACACTCGTTAGGACACATGTGACGACACTCGTTAGGACACATGTGACGACACTTGTTAGGACACATGTGAGGACACTCGTTAGGACAAATGTGATGACACTTGTTAGGACACATGTGAGGACACTCGTTAGGACACGTGTGAGGACATGTTTGGACACTTGTGAGGACACATACGAGGACACGTTAGGACACTTGTGAGGACACATGTGAGGACATTGTTCTGTTTCTTCCAATTTATTTTGAAAACAATTTAAAAAATAAGCCACAAAATAAAAGCTGCTGAAGAAACCAGGACTAAACCAGGACTAAACCAGAACTAAACCAGAACTAAACCAGGACTAAAACAGAACTAAACCAAGACTAAACCAGGACTAAACCATAACTAAACCAGGACTTTGGCCTTTGCCAGGACTAAACCCGGTCTTTGCCAGGACTAAACCCAATCTTTGCCAGGACTAAACCAGGACTAAACCAGGTCTTTGTCAGGACTTTGGTCTTTGCCAGGACTAAACCCGGTCTTTGCCAGGACTAAACCCGGTCTTTGCCAGGACTAAACCCGGTCTTTGCCAGGACTAAACCAGGTCTTTGTCAGGACTAAACCAGGTCTTTGGTAGGACTAAACCAGGTCTTTGCCAGGACTAAACCTGGTCTTTGCCAGGACTAAACCTGGTCTTTGTCAGGACTAAACCAGGTCTTTGGCAGGACTAAACCCGGTCTAAAGCGGGTCTTTCTGGGGTCTGTTCTGTGCAGAGGTGTGCAGAGAGTTTTAATGGAAAAGCCCTGAGGCGTCTCTCTGCACCGCTCCAGGACACATGCATTATGGATCAGACCTCAAAACCGGTTACAATCCACCTGGAACCCACTCAGACTCCTTGAATCCAGTTACAATCCACCTGGAACCCACTCAGACTCTTCAAAACTGGTTACAATCCACCTGGAACCTTCTTCTAATCTACCAGACTCACTAAAGAAACTTGGCAAATTTGGAACTAAACCAGGTCTAAACCAGGTCTAAACCAGGTCTAAACCAGATCCCAGCCCCCTGTAGTCCGGTTAGGATCCTCAGACCCACCTCGTACTCCTCCTTGAAGCCGTAGCCCTCGGCACACTTCATCTGTGTGATGTGCTGGAGCAGGTCGGCCACGCGGATCGCCGGGTGCACGGTCCCGGTCTGGTACAGGGTCTGGTCCTGGTCCCGCTGTTTGTAATGAGCCTGGACCAAGGACGAGGTCTCGCTCTGAGTGTGGGAGTCGTCTGCAAGAGAAGAACCGGGTCTGAACCAAGTCTAAACCAGGTCTAAACCAGGTCTAAACCAGGTCTAAACCAGGTCTGAACCAGGTCTGAACCAGGTCTGAACCAGGTCTGAACCAGGTCTAAAGTGGGTCTGCTTCTGGTCCCGTGGGTGTGGAGCTGAGACGGCGCCCCCCGTGTGTCGCTGGGATAAATGTCGTTTAAAATTCGTGAAAATTAAACCTGAAAGCTTCTAAACGAGCCTTTGACCTTTGACCTTTGACTCGGGGTTTGGAGTGAAGATCATGTGACCCGCCTCAGCTCAGACTCGCCCACGAGACAAAAGACGTTCACACATCGACTGAAACGTCGCTGAAGGTTTAATGTTTATCTGTGTGAATGTGTGTAAATGTGTGTGTGTAAGTGTGTAAATGTGTGTGTGTGTAAATGTGTGTGTGTAAGTGTGTAAATGTGTGTGTGTGTAAATGTGTGTGTAAATGTGTGTGTAAATGTGTGTACATTTTTAAAGCTTAGTTTTTTTTTTATAATGAAACACATTTAAACATTTTAAAAACAAATTGAAATAAAAATATGATTTTACACAAACACAAACACGAATGAACGTCACATGACACAGGAACCGAGATGGACGACACCTCCTTTTCACACAGACAAGAACCAGGACTAAACCAGGACTAAACCAGGACTAAACTAGGACTAAACCAGGTCTAAACCAGGACTAAACCAGGTCTAAACCAGGTCTAAACCAGGACTAAACCAGATCTAAACCAGGTCTAAACCAGGACTGAACCAGGACTAGACCAGGACTAAACCAGGACTAGACCAGGACTAAATCAGGACAAACAAGACTTAGACCAGGACTTAAACCAGAAGTCTAAGCCAGGTCCAGAGCAGTACTAGAGCAGGACTAAACCAGGTCTAAACCAGGACTTTGGGGCCCATGTGAAAAGGAGTCTTGAACCAAACCTCGTCTTTGACCTGACTCTGATCCTGTGTTCTGATTGGCTGACACTTTCCCGCCAAACTCATGGGATGGCGCCAAAATAAAAACAACAAAAACAAACAAACAAGATGGAGGACGAGTGTGGACCAATCAGAGCGAGGCATGCGCAGGTGTGACACAGACCCCGCCCCCACTTACCATTTATGGGCACTTTACCGAGAAACAACAAAAAGAAGAAGAAAAAAGGAGACAGGAAATAAGCAACAACTCTGAAGCATCATCAAAACCTGCGCTAAGGTCGCTAGGCTAACGCGGCTAGGCTAACGCGGCTAGGCTAATGTGGCTAGGCTAACGCGGCTAGGCTAATGTGGCTAGGCTAACGCGGCTAGGCTAACGCGGCTAGGCTAATGTGGCTAGGCTAACGCGGCTAGGCTAATGTGGCTAGGCTAATGTGGCGAGGCTAATGTTGCTACCCTAAGTTGTCTAACTGAGCTGAGCCCTGAGGAGAGACGGATCAGGCAGGTTTCAGAGAGAGAGGTGCTGCTACGGATCAGGCAGGACCCAAACACGCCACAGTTTAAAGATGGAGGAGTCTAAATTTATGTCACATAAATTAAAAAGGTTTGTTTAGACAGAGTTTAAAATGGAGGACAGTGCTGGTGCTACGGATCAGGCAGAGTTTAAACTAGTGCTACGGATCAGGCAGAGTTTGTGTTACGGATCAGGCAGGAGTTTCGTTGATAAAATCTCGAGCAGGTTTGGGAAGATGGAGAGTTTGGGACGGGAGGAGTGGGACCGAAAAGACTCTAGTTTAAAGTAAATAATAATAAAAGAATCTGAGCAGAGTGGATTTAAAAACATTCAGGGTCATGTACAGAATATGAAGAAGAGGAAGAGGAGGAAGAGGAGGAAGAGGAGGAGGAGTTTTGTGTCTCAGTGCGAGGTGAGGCTCTGTGGAGGGGCCTGATCATTTCATTTCTTTTTCCCCAGTTTTCGGCGTTTCACAGACGAGACACGACGCTGATGTGATGTGGATGAGTGAGGCCCACCACACAAAGAAAGAGTTCAAAAGAAAAAAGAAACACAAGGCAAAAAAAAACAAAAAACTGGGAAAGGTTTAAATCAAATGTATAAATGTGAAATAATCAAATACATTAATAAAGCTCAAATAAGAGAAAAAACAAATGAATCAAAGTAAGAGGAGAAAAGCCGGAGCGAAAAGCAGCAGACGATGAATGAAGCGGATCTCTCCATCTCTGTCCCTACTTCCTGTCCACTTCCTGTTTACGCCTATCTACTTCCTGTCTGAGAGGAAACAGAAGGAGAAGAGGCTCACCTAAAATGGCCGTCGGGACGAAAGGGTCTGTGCCGAGCGAAGAACGAAGAACAACAAAGAACGACGAAGAACAACGAAGAGAGAAGAGAGAAGAGGAGAGGAAGAACAGTTACAAACGTCACTTTAGTCAGTTTAAATGTTTTAATGTGTGAATATAAACGTCAATAAATATTCTAAAGATTTAAAACACAAATATGAGTTTATCAAGTTTAAACTGAAACAACAATAAATATTTGAGTAAAATAAACTCTCCTCACCTGTGTCCTACCTCCTCACCTGTGTCCTACCTCCTCACCTGTGTCCTAACCTGTCCTGTGTCTCACCTGTGTTTGTGTCTCACCTGTGTTTGTGTCTCACCTGTGTTTGTGTCTCACCTGTGTTTGTGTCTCACCTGTGTTTGTGTCTCACCTGTGTTTGTGTCTCACCTGTGTTTGTGTCTCACCTGTGTTTGTGTCTCACCTGTGTTTGTGTCTCACCTGTGTTTGTGTCTCACCTGTGTTTGTGTCTCACCTGTGTAGTAGGAGTTGGGGATGGAGCTCATGGTGTTGGACTTGAGTGTGAAAGACGAAGGCGACGAAAGACCTGAAAAAAAACAAACAAACAAATAAACAAACAAATAAATAAATAAGAAACAATAATATAAAAAAATATATATAATAAAAACTGTATTTCACACAGACTCCATGTCCCACAATCCTTTGCTCTGATGTCGTTTCCTGGACTCGTGTTTTGTTTTACACAAACCTGCACATTTAACACGACAAAACACTCTGTTCCACCTCGTGACGTCATCGTGTGGTGATACAGGAAGTGCTCCACTGTGTTTTTAAACTCCACATTTCACCTTCACTAGAATCACCTGGAACATTTCAATCGTGGAGTCGACGAATCTCGACTCAACTAAAGAGAAAAAGAAACCACCACTTGATGACATCACAAGGTGGAACTCTGGAGATGTAGACAGGTTTGTGAAGTTTCCCTACATCAGAACATCAGAACATTAGAACATCAGAACATTAGAACATCAGAACATTCAAACGTGACTTAAAGTTCAGAGTCAGTTTTTCGTGATCCAGGAGCTTTAATTAAGTGGGTGGTCTCCTCTCCTCGTCTCCTACTCCCTCCTCCCTTGTCTCCTCTCCTCGTCTCCTACTCCCTCCTCCCTTGTCTCCTCTCCTCGTCTCCTTCTCCCTCCTCCCTTGTCACCTCTCTTTGCCTCCTACCCCCTCCTTCCTTGTCTGCTTTTTTGGTCTCCTCCTCCCTCATTTCCTCCTTCCTTGCCCCTTGTTTCCTTGTTCTGAATATTCTTCCGTTCTTTTCTACTTTTCAGTTTTTTTTATTTTTATGGAGAGCTGTAAACTGGAGCAGGAGCCTGAGGCAAGGTCACCCCCTCCTCCTCCTCCTCCTCCTCCTCCTCCTCCTCCTCCTCCTCTCTCTCTCTCTCTCTCTCTCTCTCCTTCATCTTTCCATCTTTTCCTGCATTTCTTCTCTCGTTTGTCTCGTGGCGTTTTTCTGTTGCTCACTTCACCTTCAAACTTCAATCTCAATAATCCTCAAAATCTGACGCAGCCTCAGAAAAACTCACCAACGTGAAAAACCCCGAACGTCCACAACTCCACAAACCCCTCGCTCTGCTGCTAACACAACGAGGAGTATTTGCAGTAGTACTTGCAGTACTATTTGCAGTAGTAGTAGTATTTGCAGTAGTAGTAGTACTAGTATGAGGCAGTGAGCTCTTGTATGAAGCTGAGATTTTATATAAATATATTTTTACTTATTTTATTTTGACTTGTACATTTACATTTATATAATTATGTTTGATTTCACACCTGTCTCTTTCTCTTTTTTATTACTACTACTTATTTTTATTATTATATTATATTTTAATAATAATAAAAATATAATAAATATAATAATAATAATAATAATAATAATAATAATAATTATTATTATATTTTAATTATTATTTGTATTATTATTACATTTATATATTTTTCTTTATTTTTATATTTTATTGTGCTGTGTCCAAATCTTTTCCCAATAAAGTTTGACTAAATAGTAGTAGTAGTAATATTTGCAGTAGTAGTAATAATATTTGCAGTAGTAGTAGTAGTACCTCTCCCGTTGAGCGTGTGTCCGTCAGTACTCGCGGTGGGCAGTGTGTGGGAGTATTTGTAGTATTTGTAGTAGTATTTGCAGTAGTAGTACCTCTCCCGTTGAGCGTGTGTCCGTCAGTACTCGCGGTGGGCAGTGTGTGGGAGTATATGTAGTATTTGTAGTAGTATTTGCAGTAGTAGTACCTCTCCCGTTGAGCGTGTGTCCGTCAGTACTCGCGGTGGGCAGTGTGTGGGAGTATTTGTAGTATTTGTAGTAGTATTTGCAGTAGTAGTACCTCTCCCGTTGAGCGTGTGTCCGTCAGTACTCGCGGTGGGCAGTGTGTGGGAGTATTTGTAGTATTTGTAGTAGTATTTGCAGTAGTAGTACCTCTCCCGTTGAGCGTGTGTCCGTCAGTACTCGCGGTGGGCAGTGTGTGGGAGTATATGTAGTATTTGTAGTAGTATTTGCAGTAGTAGTACCTCTCCCGTTGAGCGTGTGTCCGTCAGTACTCGCGGTGGGCAGTGTGTGGGAGTATTTGTAGTATTTGTAGTAGTATTTGCAGTAGTAGTACCTCTCCCGTTGAGCGTGTGTCCGTCAGTACTCGCGGTGGGCAGTGTGTGGGAGTATTTGTAGTATTTGTAGTAGTATTTGCAGTAGTAGTACCTCTCCCGTTGAGCGTGTGTCCGTCAGTACTCGCGGTGGGCAGTGTGTGGGAGTATTTGTAGTATTTGTAGTAGTATTTGCAGTAGTAGTACCTCTCCCGTTGAGCGTGTGTCCGTCAGTACTCGCGGTGGGCAGTGTGTGGGAGTATTTGTAGTATTTGTAGTAGTATTTGCAGTAGTAGTACCTCTCCCGTTGAGCGTGTGTCCGTCAGTACTCGCGGTGGGCAGTGTGTGGGAGTATTTGTAGTATTTGTAGTAGTATTTGCAGTAGTAGTACCTCTCCCGTTGAGCGTGTGTCCGTCAGTACTCGCGGTGGGCAGTGTGTGGGAGTATTTGTAGTATTTGTAGTAGTATTTGCAGTAGTAGTACCTCTCCCGTTGAGCGTGTGTCCGTCAGTACTCGCGGTGGGCAGTGTGTGGGAGCTCGTCACCATCAGAGTCATTTCTTGTCTCGAACTCAAAGTTTCTTTTCTTTTCTGAGACAATTTCCTGAAAAACACAAATAAAACATTTATTTAAAAAAACGATGTTCCACAATGTTCCACGTCAAACTGTTCTGCACCAGTACGACCTGTTCTACTGTTCTAATGTTCTACTGTTCTACTGTTCTAATGTTCTAATGTTCTACTGTTCTAATGTTCTACTGTTCTACTGTTCTAATGTTCTACTGTTCTACTGTTCTAATGTTCTACTGTTCTACTGTTCTAATGTTCTACTGTTCTACTGATCTAATGTTCTTCTGTTCTACTGTTCTAATGTTCTACTGTTCTACTGTTCTAATGTTCTACTGTTCTACTGTTCTACTGTTCTACTGTTCTACTGTTCTAACTGTTCTAATGTTCTTCTGTTCTACTGTTCTACTGTTCTAATGTTCTACTGTTCTACTGTTCTAATGTTCTACTGTTCTACTGATCTAATGTTCTTCTGTTCTACTGTTCTAATGTTCTACTGTTCTACTGTTCTAATGTTCTACTGTTCTACTGTTCTAATGTTCTACTGTTCTAACTGTTCTAATGTTCTACTGTTCTACTGTTCTAATGTTCTACTGTTCTACTGATCTAATGTTCTACTGTTCTAATGTTCTACTGTTTTAATGTTCTACTGTTCTACTGTTCCAATGTTCTACTGTTCTACTGTTTTAATGTTCTACTGTTCTACTGCAGTGTTGTCATGTTCTAGGACTAAACCAGGACTGAAGATTAGAAATGTAACAAAATCCAAATCTCTCTGTTCGATATTTTCACGATTCGATATTTACACGATTCGATATTTTCACGATTCGATATTTTCACGATTCGATATTTCTTGTGATATTTTGTGAACAAAACTGTGAATATTTTTCTTTTTCTTCTTCAGACGCGTCGTCGAGATTGAACCTAAAGACCTGAGAGTGAAAAGTGTCGAACTGTTGTTTGTTCTTGTATCTGCAGTGAAACGGAGCAAAGGATCATGGTCATTTCAACAAAAATATCAGCTTCCTCTCCTCAAAATTTGTCTTTCCCAATCGGTGAAATGACATAACACGTTCTCATTTTTTAGGGCGTTAGGCTCCGGAGGCTAGCCGCGTGTAGCTGTCAGTGTGATGCAAGTATTTATCGGACACAATAACTACTTATTATAATATTTTTTCTTTTTATACTCAGTTTACTTGGAAAACCACTGGGTGCACTAGTCTGTCTTACACACACATCGTAACTAATCAAACTAACTACAACTTATACACAATCACACGTACAGCATGTAAAGGTGACTAATCACACACCTATGTTATTGATTGGTAGCGAGCTATGCCACTTCTCATGCCTCATCTTATCATTTCGAGCACACATATTAAATTCTACAAAACACTATAAACTAATTAGTACTATTTACAGCTAGTGATTATTAGGCTCATTCATCATCTATGCTCAATATATAAAATCAGTGTGTCGTTTTGGACTCACATCACTCATTGAGACAATCAGTTCATATAGACACCACACTATCATACTATTCAACCAACACAATCACACAATAATATTGATTCTTAGGAATTCATCATAGCTCTATTATTTTTGCAGCCACCTACCACACAAATAAATTAGCGATAGCACCGACTTTTTAGTATGTGCACACATCATCGACTATATAAATCATGACTCAACTACTAAAACACTCATCAACATTTTCTTTCAAATGAACTACAGTAATGATTGATTAAGCTGTGATTAATCGAATTCTTGAATTGCGATTTGTCGATGTGTTCAAAACAATTTCCTAAACTCATATAATACGAGTTGTAACGTTAAAGCTTCAAACAACACATCTTAATACACACACAACTATATATGTACTCATTTCAATTCATAATCTATATAATAAGCATAATCAATCACTATTAATTATTCATCAAAACTATCTAATTACACTTATACACATAATAAGTCTGGCCATATTATAGTCTATCATCACTTATATAGCATACAACAACTACTTATATACTTCTATCATCACAATCTATTAACACACACTATACAACTACATCTTACTTAATGTTCCAGTACACACACTATAAGCACACCACTATACACAATTTTAATTAAATAATTTATGTTTATACATTGTCGAGCACAAACTGCTAAGGTACAATTTACCTGTATTTATTTTCATTTAAAAAAGTTGCATAAATTATCAGTACCAAGTGGTTTTTTTCTGTTGAGAGAGAGAGATGCGACACAAAAATAATGTTAATAAATCATCACACACACACGACAAATCACACAGTATCTTTGAGACCACACAAACATATAATTATCGCGGAGCGAGCACACTAGTGAATAACAACACACTATAGAACCACATTTTTATTATCTATTCTATTTTCCTAATCGAGCAGACACACCACACTATAACCACACACTATACATCACACACACTATCACACACACACACTATACTATCAGCTCAGCACACTTATTATATCTTACCAGTCTAACCACTATTCATTTATTAATTTCACACCTTATTTATTCATAGGCTTCTTTTATATACACACTATACACACACCGTGATCATGCCAAGCCTAATCTCAAAATAAAGGGAATACACGACTCACATCACACTTAATATATTCCACACATTAAATATTAATGAACACGACACTATACTATTAAAACCCAAGTAATCATCCAAATACCCACATCGACTCAACTATAGTCAGGACACACTCACACACTATACACACACACAATTCTACTATCAACTATACACAGTAAGTGACACGACGCACCACGAGACTGAATAATCGACCCACAACTTTGGTCCGGATTGTGTTCAGCTTTGGGAACACAATCATCCCTGTGACACACCCACACACACATGCATCATCAGGATTCACGCACAGTAAACACTAGTACACACACACTTCAAACCACTAATTAGTCTCACACACACTACCTACAAAGGTGTATCACCACATACATATATAATTCTTATAAAGTTTTAACTACCAAATATAACAACACTCGTTTTAAATGTCTCTAACTTTGGATCTTTGCTACACCACATACAGTGTTAGTTCCAGCGTAGATAAATCATATCTATACACACTAATTCTATTTAGTTCTTTCTTTCAAGAAATGACTCAATGATGGCTTGGACACACATCACTTATGAAGCACAACAGCAGAGAATGAGCTCCACTCAGCTCTGCACACCTTTCATTTTCTGTATATAAGTTAATTAATAACTGGACTGGCCAATAAATAGTAGTTTCTATATTTTACTGCTATTTCATCGAGCACACAATCACACAACTACACACACCTCATTGAACATTACACTATATATTCTCTAAACACTAGTACACTCAGACAATCACTACCGCTGGTGAGCAGTCCTACTAAAACTATCACAGCATCATATATACACACACACATACATCCAAACGACCACACTAGATCCTAACAAGGCACTGCATCTACTATATTGCGAAGGGCAAAACATCGCACCACACACACACAATAAACACAACATCACTAACATTCACAACACACTAATACAACACAAGACTGGGCAGGAGAATACTCGACATATATCTGTGGCAACCAGAAGAGCATAATATAACTTCTCACGGTCTTGAGCGAAAGAGCGAGAAGAATCGTTTTGAGTTCACAACCCTTCGAGGAAACTATTATGTGTTATGGACAAGGGACAGCACTCCATACCAGCAGTCGATACAGCACACAACACATCGTCACTCACACACACTATATCAGTCGACAATGCACAATATATACCGCTCTCCTGTCGGGATGGACAAGTCCTGGGCACACACAGCACCAACAACACTCATATTACCACTAAACATCTTTGGACAACAGAGCGAAAAGAATTGAAGTGAGTACTGCTCAGTGTTAACAACTATATAAACGCAATATATAACACACCAATTATCTATATTTGTCTGTAACGAGATGCCATCACGAACCACATTAAATGCTCTAAAAGATTTATGACCACCTTAGACCTCCCAAAGTTCTATTAAGGGTATTAGGAGAATAACCCTTTCTTACTTACTTCCTTCACTATTAAAAAAAGATCTCACTATTCTTCCTATATTTAAAACTAAGGATTCACATTTGACAGTTGCTTTGCATTTTTGTTTCATTTTTAATCGCAACTATACACACACGAGAGCCCTTGACATTCATACGGATACGTGCACTGTGTTCATGACAGGCACAGAGATGATACAACGACACACTTATTTGTTATGATCACCAATCTATCACCGTACAGCGAGCACCACGAGCACATTAATACACATCTAGCACACACATCTCTATACTTCTAGTACTCACACAACACTATACACACACTATACACACACAAACACACACTATACACAACACTATAGAGCCATTGCACTCGACACTACACACTATAGCATACATCACACAACACGTATCACTTTATATTCATCTTACACTACTCATGTATATGACGATCGATGCCAGCACACTAGCGCACAACGAACTTTACACTACCACACCACCAACTATATGCTAACACATCTAAGTGAATTAGAGAGCCTACAACATCACAGAATTTCAATTGAAATAAGTAGCCTATAATTTTTGAGACAACTCTACATCTATTATTGATCAGACTCTTATACCTATTCATACCACAATTATTTAAATACAAAACAAGGCAGATTTTAAACAGCTAGACATCACACTCACGCAGCGAGAATATAGACATATACACACACACATCCACAACACTTACTACTATTGACATATTACATTGTGAGAAAAAAGTCATGATTTAAGTACATAATTTAATAAATTGCAAATGATGATTTTCTTTTCCATACCTCAAACACACAATCATCATACACGTATCTTGAAATGTGCATAAAATTGTCTTATGAAATAAATCTGTCGCTTATGAACTGAATTATATGGAACCTATATTAGACACTAACAAAACACAACCTACTATAC